TAATAATACTATTACAATGATAAAACAATCTATTGTATGTCATTTACAATATACAGACAGTAGTGAATTACACTGGCTACTTGGTATAGAGATTCAATGTGACAGAGAGTATAGATTCATCAGGATGTGTCAGACACATTATATTAATAGTATAATAGAATGTTACAAACTTACAAATGAACAAAGTGTACAAACACTCATACAGTCTGGTACACAATTAAAAACAGTATCACAAACCAATAACAATAGAAAACAAATGTCTGATATACTATACATAAACATGGTTGGCACACTTAGATACATTGCAGACTGTACACAGCCAGATATAGCATTTGTAACAAATCAGTTAGCTAAATACCTTAATGACCCTAGTATGGAGCATTATCTGGCACTTAAACATTGTTACATGTACTTAAAAACTATGAACAATGTCTGGCTCCAACTTGGCAGCACAAATCAATCAATATTGAACAGCTATACAGACACAGACAGTATGATGTAAGAAGGGCATTGTGCAATATCAGGATATGCATTTTACTTGAGCAATTCATTAGTTTCATAGTCAAGTAAAAGACAAACACTGGTGGCAAATTCAATGTATGAAGCTGAATTAATAGCTCTTGTAAGAGGAACACAGGAAGCAATTGCACTTACTCATTTAGCTGAAGAGATTCTGCAGGTCTCTGATGCACCAATTAATATCTATTGTGATAACAATGCTGTTATACAAACGGTTACATCAGACAAACTCAAATATTCAGAACAAACAAAGCATTTAGATCATAAGAAAGATTTTATTAAATGCTACATTGAGTTAGAGTACATAAATGTGAAATACATACAGACAAACGATTAACAAGCAGATATATTAACTAAAGCACTACATGTACCACAAGTCAAACATCTTACTAGTTTACTCAGACTAGTAAGAGTTTGAAGGGGAGTATTATGAGATGATTAGTTCATCAACAGACAAACCATGAGACAATGACTTCATAATGTCTTAGTTAGAATACATACAATATAAGGACAAGAGACACTGAGCAGTCAATTGTCACCTCACCCCTTGTCTATGCATGCCCCCCTTAAGTTCTCCCTCTCAACATAAAATCTTATTATAGAGATATTCCTTATTACATACAATCTGTCTATAATCTTGTCTGTCCCTGTTGTTGACTCCCATATACTATGTCCTATTCTTGTCTGGTAACAATAAATAATCCCTACATAATATTGTGTACATACTCCTCATCTCATATATGTCAAACACTGTTCCACACAACATTACAAGCATAATCATATCCACTCTGCCCAACACAGTAGTCTGGAACACTCTGGAACACTCTGGAACACCCACCCACCCACCCCTCTACATCTCTGGAACATACACTAACACAAGTTGTACTAGAACAGAAATCCTGACTTTTGTGAATAACATTCGATTTTGTGTGAGGTGGTGCCTGAGTCCTTGGTTCTGGACTACAGAGACACAGTCAAGGAAGACAAGGTTGCAAATGTCTGAAAAATGAATATATATAGGCATGCAAATATGAATATGTTTGAGTACAAGTGTTCAATATCTACACTGAGTTGAATCGGATTAACAGTAAGTGGGGGGATAAGGAGAGGCATTTTGAGTATACATACTATTGTCTGATCCCAATTTGCTATCTGTTAATTGCTACAGGCAGTAGATGGATGAAGAGTGTGTGAAACACAGTCACAAACACAGAGAACACTACTCTTCTCCACCTGCCTATCTATTAATTCTTTGTCAGTTGTCTGAGGTGTTTTTTACATTACAGCTAGGTCTACAGTGTCTACACTAAGTAACTGACTCAGAGGGCCTACAAGTTCTTACACACCCTATTTAATAAACACTTCTTCCTGCTCTCAACACTCTGTAAGTCCTGCAAAAAAACTTTTCCCTTCTCCTTCTGCTAGACATAACACAGTAGGAAGACAATAAGAAAGCTATGGTTGGCTGGTCTGGTAGTAAGGAGGATGTTAGTATAGAGTTTACAACACACAGCTTTGACACAATCACAGAAGTGCTTGATGAGTGAGGCAGTAGTGTGTAGGTACTACTAGGTGAAAGTTGCTGTTGTTAGGGATAAAGATTGAAGAATATATGAATTTAGGATGTACTGAGAACAGAAGGAAGGGTAAGAGTAGGAGACATACTAGATAAGGTCCCCTGCCTACAAAGATGATAGGTACAGAGTATGCCTTTGCTTTGTACCTTGTTACAACACCAAATGCAGGTCCAGCACCTTGTAGTGTCTACCATACATTTATAAACATATTTATCCTAGAATAAAGAGATTGTTCATTAGCACTTTGCCTTTATATTTCAATCTTTGACTTCTGATTTTGTGGTTAGAGTGTAGTCTAAATGGTGAAGGGGAAATGAAAGAAGACTGACTAGGATGCTAGTTCTTACTCACAAAGACAATACTCTTGTCTGCAAGTACTATCTCCACCTCTACAAGTGTGTCAACCAAGAGTCTATGAAGACAAGAAAGGAACCTGAACCTACTAAGTATTGTCATACTTGAGCCTACAGGGTGTACTACTCTACATACACAGAACTGTTGAAAAAGATCAAAAGTAGTCATGTTAGGTTGATCTTTCTAAGACAATCTTATGAGTTTAGGACAAATAGGGAGGGGAGAAGGGGAGGATGCACAAAGGGACTTGATACAGAATACTCAACAACACACTCTCATTTACAGACATAGTAGGTAACAGATGTACAGTAGTGAATAAATCAATATCTTTTTGTTTCACACCTGTACTAAAGGAGGTGTATGTGTCTGGCTGGACAGGTGTAGCTACCTATTTGATTTTTTCATATATGTTTTGTTCCAAATCCAAATAGTATGAAATTAAATTATTAGTAATATGTAAGAGATCTATAAGATGAGAAGGAAAGGTGCTAGTATTTATGTCAGACAGAACCCAGGTCTCCCTGGCCCTGAACCTACACTGTCAGAAGGCACACTAACAACTATTAGCACACTTGAAGACAGTTCTACTCCTACTCTCATAGAGTAGAAGAAGACAGCAAATTTGAAGTAGAAGTGGTGGTTGTACCAGCACTACTAAAACCAAACACAGAGTGTTTGTAGCCCTCCTGAGACTCACACTCAACACATGTGCAGGACTGTGTACACTTGCAAGGACACTCATGTATTATAAGAGACCTTTGGAGCAGATGCTAAAGTTTGTTAGACAGGATGTAGACATGGACAAGGAGAGAGTAGGTTGGATTGTTGTTAGAGTTAGAGTTGGTGTAGAGGTTGTATTGTTTGCTTAAGCCTGTGTGGCACTGGTTAGTATAAGGAGAGTACTGAAAGTACTAGAAGTCACTATAACACTATTAGTAGACAAGAGAAGAAGTAAAAGGAGCTGCCTGTTGTAAGAGTAAACTTTAATGCTTCCAGTCACTATACTGCCTAGAGTACAGTGTAGAGTGTCTAGATACAGTTCTTCACCTTCCTCTACAGTAGTACATTCTCAAGCATTTTGAATTGTAGGAGTGTCCTATTCATAATGTAGACTTTCAATTTGAGTTACAGGACATGATTTTTGTGACTTGGCACAATCTTCTTGTCAGACAACCACAACCAACATACATAGAACATTGAGAGCTTCTCTTACACTTACAGTTGGTAATATTACAGCTACTACAGCTACAGAACTTACAAACCTTAACATGGATAGAGACAAAGAAATGTATGCCAATGTTGTACCTATTAGAATTGACTCTGATGAAGAGAACCCAGTTGATGAGGTCAGATGTCTTAACATATCCAACACAATTCTTACTAAACGTCCTGGCTGTGAGGACCATCATTGATCATAACTTTGTAGTGGATCTCATTTTTGTGCATGTGGGTACACTCTTCCAAAATGGAAGTCAATACTGATGGTTGCTATTATCAATGACAGTGATGTCTGTCTCCTAGCAAAGGTCAGTGAGAGAATAACAATTATTATAACTTTGTTCATTTTCCATCATTCAGGGTATCAGTAATAAAGCTGTACAAGAAGCCCAAACTTGCAAGGGTCTTTGTGCCATATGGTTTGAGATAACAGTAGAATTTGAAGAAAACTGCTTCAAACAAATTGTCCTCAGCCATTTCAATCCACAAGATTCCTGTAACAGATGCTCTAAGGACGTTGCAGTGTAATGCAGACAGATCCAGAGTCCAAAATCCTGTGTTCCAGTAATGCATCAGAATTGTGTGTGTTGGAGCACAACACACGTGCACAAATTGTCCTCCACAGGCTGCAACTGGGAGAATCTAGACTCTGACTGAGTCCAACAATTGACACTCCATACAATGCCCGAGTTCTGCAAACTCCTGGTAGTAAGAGCTGTAAGACACTGACACAGACTCAATTGCAGACAAATTTGCTGTCCTATACAAGGAAAGTGTTTCCAAAATCCAAAAATAACTGTAGAATCATTACTGGATTCTTTATGTAGCTAATCACAAAGCAAGCTATGCCTCCCATTCTGTCTGACATAGCACTTGGACCAGATGAGATGATTTCAGAAAGAAATGCTTTGAAACTGAGCCAGATAACTCAGTCATGACTGACCAACAGCATCAGATCCGTGCCAACACCCTTACTTAATTTTGCAGGCAAATTGGGCCCACCAGATTCAAGTAGTTAATCAATATTTGTCTTGCATCAATATTGTGAATCATCTTTGCAGGGTTGTTCTTTCACCCAGCCTACAATAATAAATTGATGAGTCATCCAAGCATTATTACACCAATTCCATAAGAATAATATTAATGTACCTGTGCAAAACAACTTAAGTCTTTTACTGAAAAAAGTAAACAGTATTGAATAATCCTTCATTTTAACACATAGAAATGACAAACAAATGTGGTCATCCTTAGAACAAAGAGTTTATCACAATGTTTACATAAACAACACTATTTGTTCAGCATACAGTTATGTTTTGTAAATCTAATTACTACATGGTCCTGTTGTTAAGATCCACTGTCAAGAAAGACAGACCAAAATTGTTAGGATGGCATGAGGCAACTTTCCCAGGTCCTTGATCTCGGACGCACGTTCATGAAACCTGTTCATCTATATCCTTTAGTTTTGGCAACACCCTTGTATGCTCACACTTGTCCAATGAATCGTCATGGGTCTGATAGCGACAGTGAGGCGTCAGAAGGTGATTCAAATCCTTTGCAACACATATTGCTAGAGATACTCGATCATCTAGATCATCTGAACCTCAAGGGTCAGCTCAGTCGCAAAAGGAACAAGTCCGTTTCAACAGGAGCATACAGGGATATCTCCAGAGGCAAATGCAATGTAGAAGGACGAGGTAAGATTAAAGTTGCTATCAAATGTCTTCGGTTTTACCTGGAGGATGATATCAAACTGGTAAGCTGTCGATTGACATTACACGATCTCCAACGTTAATGGTTTCCACACAGTTGTTTGAGAAGGAGGTTTATGTCTGGTCAAAGTTGAAACACAACAACATTCTTCCTCTCCTTGGATATGATTTCAACAAGGCAACAGGGTATCCATTGTTAGTGTCAGAGTGGATGGATAACAGATCGGCTTGGGCATACGTCAGATTGCATCCAGAGGCAAACGTGATGCATCTGGTGTGGACATTTTCTTGTCACGACCATTGCTCGTACTAAAATGCTTCAAGGTCTCAGGGATTGCACAAGGGCTCGCATACCTTCACGAAAAAGACGTGGTCCATTCTGATATTAAATCAGTACGTGCTACCAAACTGTCTTTTGGTGCATTGTCAATCTTATTTTGATTGGCAAGGACAACATTCTCGTCTCGGACAGCAGTGAAGCTCTCATATGCGATTTTGGGTGTTCCCGTATGCTCGTTGCAAGTCGTACTTTCGTCAACCCCACCTCAGGCCTGAGAGGGACCTCCAGCTACCTTGCATATGAGCTTGTAGCAGAACAACATTCTTCGGGCCATACAAAGCAGACTGATGTCTGGGCGTTCAGAATGACTGTATTTGTAGGTGACGTTTCAGCAGAGAGTATATGACCATTACCAATGAAGTGATAGGAGCTGTTGACTCGAAAACGACCCTTTGAAGGCTTGTCGGACGTTCAGGCAATAGTGGCATTGCAAAACTATAATTTGCCTGCCTTTCCAGAAGTCTTAGCAACGAAAGTTTCTGCTAAGGAGTCAGAGATACTGAAAACTATCTGCTGGTCCTCCTGGAAGCAAAGACCCTCAGAACGCCCTTCAATGACGTATGTGGCATCAATCTTAAGGGACATTTCCAGATGTTCAACTTCTTCAAATCACACTGACGGAGAACCATTTGAGGTATCAAATGTGAATTGCTTCCTCATACCTGTCTAGTCCAATGCTGATATAGATAGGAGTCAACTTCGTCCACGTCACGAACTGATCTGTACACATTGAGTGATGCATCAGAATTGTGTTGGCCAGAATACGTGTACAAATCACCCGCCTTATACGTGTCATCTGCAGAAAGCAACACAGAGAATCTAGACTCAGTCATATCGGGGGATCGACGCTCCAAACAGAGCCCGACCTTCAACGTCACAAACGTCACACGTAAGTCTGAGTCGAACCTACCCCGATAAAAATTCGCTTCCATAAAATTCACTTACCCTTGTTTGTGCTTTTTTGTAGTACCAGGTGCTAGTTCACAGCGCATCTCACTTGATTTACTGAAAGCTGTGGGCGGACTTCCGGACTATGCCTACTCGTCCAGGGCCTCATTCACTACGGGATCGCCAGCACGTCCCTTCACTCTGCCTGATAGCATCTGCCCGCCTGCGCTTACGCACTTGAGCAATGGTGAGTTCTCTTCCAATGCCTATTCGTCGGGGACCTCGTTCACTATGGGATTGCCAGCACGTCCCTTCACTCTGCCTGAGAGCGTCTGCTCGCCTGTGCTTACGGACCTCAGCAATGGCAAGCTTTCTTCGGATAGCATGCCCTCTTCCAATGCTGCATCTACGCGCAGAGCTCTCTCAAATTCAGCCGACAGTGCAAGTTCGCCTGGCTACGTGCATGGTGAGTTTCCGGGACCAGTGGCCAGCACTGTTTCAACCCAATTGTTGCTCGGCCCGCCCGCCCAGAGCGTAGGCGCCGCACTAGCAACGATGATTACGCGAGCGATGAAGACGAACAGTTCCGCAATTTCTCCCGACCGTTCGCCGAAGCGCGCACAGGATGAGCAAAAGCCAAGAAACCTCCTCGTCTGCAACACCTGCGGAGAAGGTGTTCCCTCCCGCGACCCTCAGTCGGGAGGCCTCACTCTCAGGCTCTGGCACATGCACCAGGATCAATGGTGCGTATCGCTCCCCCGAACTTTGTCTACTGTATAAATATCAATACATTAAGGACGTGTTTCTGACTAATATTGCTACTTCTCTCGTCTCCTTCTCTACCGTGTAACAGCCGCCTGCAACACGACCCGCGTCCAATTGCTCTCACGCCCGACACGACTATGGAGCTTAAGGCGAATCCGCCTCGCAAGAAGCGTCCGCCTCTGAGGAAGCGTCGTGCAAAGCGCGCAGAAGAGGAGCGCATTGAATATCTGCGTTCGGATCCTTATGTGGTTCAGTTCGAGCCTTATCGTGTCCTTTGTGGTTCATGCAACAAATGGGTTCGCCTCCAACCCTATAGAACTTACTGCTCAAAGCCGTGGGATGCTCACCGCAAAAGCTGTATTTCCAAGAAAGCTGCTCTACCTTTTGATCACCGATCTCCCGACACAGGAATCGCACCGCCTGGACGATCAACAATGAATTTGGTAGAACCGTCGTATAATACCAAGTCTCATGCATCTGCACCTTCCCATGGCTCGCTCCCTGCACCAGAAGCCTTCGCACGTATTGGTGGGGGTTCTCACTATACAACATCAACATGATGTCAAGTGGCTTGTCTGCTTCTGGGCCGGACTGCTCTCCGCCGACTGCACTGCGCAAACTTGCTTCCAGACCGTCGGCACTTGCGTCGCATGATGCCCGTAGAAAAAATACAGAGCAACGTATAGCAGCACTTAGGGGCGGATCCACTTTCACGTGAAGTCGAACCAAACCGTGTTCTTTGTGGTCTTTGCAGCAAATGGGTTCAGCTACGCCAGGACGGTTCGTTCTGTGCTTATCAATGGCATCGACGCCGCAGCAAGTGCTTGGCACGGTACCAACGTCGACAGGAGAAGGTTCCCGGCTACTCGCCCCATGGGCCGTATGACTCGCGTTCTGGCGGTTATGTTAGTCATGGTGCATCCCGCTACAACGGCGACCTGGACGCAGATGGCTCATTTGATGACCGCCTTGAATCCGAAGACAGACCTTATTCTCGTAGGAAAAGATATGAAAACATTGAAAGGGCATCAGGTCATTCATACGCGACGCCCCCTCCCCCTCCGTCGTAAGCACCGTCGTCCTCACATGTTTTATCCAGTGGGAAATATAAGCTGTCGGCACAACCAGCAGCAATGGCTAGTCACTACAAGTACAACGCACCGTCGTATGCTTTACCGGGAGGCCCCATCTGTGGACGACATACGTGACGCGTCAATGGACGAAGACGCCGGTGGTGAGCACGATCTGGACGTAGAAATGGACGAGGAGCCTGGGCGAGACCGGAGACGCCAGTATGAATATGTCCGCCGACGGCCACACGATAATCATTACGGCCGTAGTTCACATCAGAATCACCAGCGAGCTGAGGATACGACAGCAAAAGCTGACCTTCGCTCAGCACGTTTGGCGTTTATCTCGACATAGATGGACTAAGTATCGGTACTCTGATAAGCTACCTAAATGCGGCGGTACCGGCCAACAAACACGACGACTTTGATGAACCGGAAATGACACGCGGCGTGGCAGCACTTGCGAAGACTGGTGTGCTCGTCCAGGAAGGCGACAGACTGCGTCCATCAACTAACTTAGAAATTGACTTTTGTAAGTAAGCTTTTGGCATGCTGCACGAAGAGATGGCATAAACGCTCAGCATACTCGGTGAACTCTCTTCCTTCTTACCCGTTTATATACTCTCTTTCCTCTCTCCTTTTGTTCTTCCATCTTGGGCTTTGGAGTTAACTTGGTCAAACACTCACCATCCCAGCTCATCTATGTTTCTATCTTATAAGACCTCCATGGTTCATTTTCTATCTTGAAATACACAGGCCATGCACCTGCTTTCTGCCTGTCTAGATGCTTGCCTCAATTCATTTCTCACATTGTACAGTTTACATTTTATTTCTGCATCTGGACCTAATATTACAATCTTTCATACAATATTTCTCGGCCGTTCCTCCCAGTGATCAAATACGACCCCCCAATTACAGAAGTCCTTTATTCAGTAATCCATGTGTGATCACCACATTGTCTCAGATCTCAACCAACCTACCACCTCTACTCAACCATCATTATCAGAACATTAAGGACAATTCGGATAATGGTGAGTGGCCAGGTGTTTGCTTGTCTGTTGCAAGCATGTAATTTGACCAGTCTCCTAGACTTACGTTGCAAAGCCATCCAACATTTAACGTGGTAGACCAGAATACTAGTATGGATCAATCTCAAATACTCAAACTAGTATACAAGTAAATATTCATCCACTGCTTCAAATCCGTGTAACACAATAATGTATCCACTAATGATGATGGATTATCTAGACACCAGCTTCAAATTGCTCGTTCTCATAATTATTATTGTGCATCATGATGTGCAGCTGTAGAAGATCATCAGAGACTCATGGAGCTGCCACTGGAGGGGTTTCAGCTGCTCCCAGATGACGTACGATTCCCAGAGCAATTATACAAGGTATTCGAGTTTTCATGTAATTTCTGTTTCTGCAGCACTTGTGTATGTTGCTTTTAAAGTCTGATCTTTTGTACTACTTAGAGGACCAAGAAAGGAGATTTTTGGAGGTATATGGATATCCTGTTGAAGAGGAGATTGACTTGGGAATATTGAGGCTTTGAGTAATCATTTTTCGTCATAATCGGACTTGAGCCTGAAATGCTAGGGTGATGCAACAAACTTGTGCAGAAAAGATTCTAAAGATTGTTGTGTAGGCCTTCATCTTTGCCAAACTTAAGTGTGACATTCATCATCCTACATAGGTGTAATTGTCCCTTGCCTCCCATAATGATCTGTTCTGGCATGTATCTATAGTCAAGTTTGTTTGATATTATCACTATTGTTCTTTTCAGTTCTGCCCAACACTTAAGAGTATTGGATAACAGTTGCATCTATTGTTTAAAATGTTAGGAAGAACAAACAAATTTAAAGAAGCCAGTCAAATAACTTTGGCAATGTTAGTCAAGCATCAAAAGCAGAGATCAAGCACATTAGTATAGTGAATATTAACCACTATGGAAAAAACATAAGTATACCTACTATAGTGTAGTATAGTATATTAGGCATGTATAATGTGTGTAAAAAAGAGAATCCATCCTCTATCCATCTATCAAGTGACAGAAAGTGTACAAACAATCAATCAAAAACCACTTGTATGAAGAAGAATGAATGGGCAGGAACACAGGAGGAATTCTCTAATAACCCTCTCTTACTTATAGTGTTCAACCTTATCTCATACTGTCTACTCATCTCATACACAACAATTACTGCCCTACTAACACAATTGTCTGAAACACTCTCTGTATTATAGGGACTTAACTAATTGCAATTTTCACTAGAACAGAAAACCCTAATTATTGTGCTTAACATTCAATTTACATAAGGTAGCACCTGAGCACTTGGTATTAGAGTGTAGAGACAAGATTGAAGAAGACAGATGTTATAAATGCCTGAGATACAAACACAAGGAGATGTAGATATGGAAGAGTGAATGTTCCAGACCTATATCAAGTTGAATTGAGCTAATAGTGAGCAAAGGGTTAAGGAATAAATCTTTGTGTATACTATTGTTTGTTCTTGACTTGATATCCACAAATAGTTAAGAGAAATAGTGTAGAGTGTGTAGAATATAAATACTAGCTACACAACTACTTATAGATTAAGTACTTACTAAGTTTTATCTTATATTAACATCTTATTAGTCTATACTGTCCCTACTGTACAAACAGATATTGTATATAGATTACTTTTTCAATATAGAACACATAGAATAGAAAGACAAGAAATCCTAAATTTGCAAATTACACTATATATTATTACCTACTTACATTACAGCTTCTCATTGTGATCATTTGTACTACTAAAGAAGTATACCTAGCTACTCCTACTTGTAAGTCCTAGACTTTACTAATATAACCATTCTGTAAGTTTTCTCTAAATGAATTCTCTGTACAGGAATATCTACTAGTATAAGGATGCCTACTAGTGTAGGAAAACCTATTTTATAAGGAATGTCTTAGTGTACTAACAGAATATAGAAATGCATCTAAAGGGTAGTCTAATAAGGATAAGAAGGGCAACTGTAATGTATTGACAGTATACTTCCATACTTAAGTAAACTAGTATAGTAAAGGTAAGGCTAATACTACTAGTACACTATAAGAGTATATATATGTTTAAGAGGAATAGTCTAAAAAGGACAGCTCTAATAATACTAACTATAATCAGTTTAGTATACTCTAGACACTAGAGTAAGTAAAGTTGAATATACTTTTAATACTATAGTAATAGTCATGTAATATACTCTAACTACTATAGTTGAGAATATAAATTAAGGACAGTATTAATCTGTATAATACTACTAATACTACTATTTAAAGTTGTTCTTCCTTAAGAGAGAATACACACTTTACTAACCTTTCCTCTAATATCCTTAACACTAACAAGGTAGCTTATCCTCTTGTTTCTGCTACCCTTACTAGACTAGTAAAAAACAATATCTTTAAAAGTAAAAGTATTAGACTGTACAGTTGTATAAGTTGTACTATTACTGAAAAAAATCAGGCTATCTGTTTAAGACAGATCTAAATCTGCTAGCTAGTATGTTAGAATTAGATACTACTTTACAATGTTGTGTAAGGTGTTAGAATCATTATAGAGATCAGTCAAGTTGAAGCTCTCAAAGGTATTATGTTAACATATATTACAATTGATGATACAATTATAGACAATACAGTATTAGTAAAATAATTAATACACATATGAACAGAACAGACACAGAACTATAAGACATGTATTGGATACACAATACAAGACATGTATCAGATACACAATAAGTATCAGATATGAGATAATAATATATTGGATATCTAAGACATACAGACAGATGAATAATATAAAAACAAATGACTTATTAACTAAATAGATCATTATCAGAGTCTATACCCTTATTACTTGTGTAATAACCTAAGAATTCACATTCTAACAGGTTATGAGCCTTACACTCTCTACTTAACACCTTATATTACTATTATGAGACTATGCTATACTACTTCACATTAATACTACACATCTACAATGGACTCTCTAAGTACTTGTAATATGTACACATTGAACAGAACAGAACTGAATCCATCTACATTCTTGTAGCAGACAAGCAGGACAAATCCTACTTACTACAAACTTACTAATGTCCTTAAACACTTTGGACACAACATTGCTCAGCTAAAAGATGTATCCAGATTCAAAATATGGAAGTACTGGATTAATTCTGCTATTGTAGCAACAGGCTATACATACTTGTTCACAAATGAACCAAAGCCTAAAGATATTGAGGTTGTACACACAATTTACATATTAATAATCAATAAAGTAGCAGATTATATAATGGCTAACTTTATACATACCAGAATATTGATTAAAACTCTTATGAGTGGATTAGAAGAATGCTTCAACCCTCATACAGTTACACATAAAGTATACAATGAGTCTTTACTATTTAAATACAATAATCATATTAAAAACTTTGGACAAACACTTGATAAGCTAGAGTAGATATATGTACAGTTTGTAACAGACAATTTTTGCATTAAAAATCCTATACAATACAATAATAACAAGCTTACAATACACAGACAGGCAAATATGTTTTGTACAAAAGATAAAAAGTACAGAAATATAGGAATTAACAAAAATACAAGTAAATTGACCTCTGTATCAAAATGCTACAATTGTAGCAAATCAGGGCACTTCTCCTGTAATTGCTAGAAGTCACCAACTCAATCATACTAGATGCCCAAGCCAAAAAGTCTAATCCTTTAGCTAATACAGTAGAAGTAATAGAAGCAAAGCTTACACTAGTAGCAACTATAGTACACACAAGCACATATATTGAACAGGTACTAGATGTTGAAATGACAGAGATACTAACCTCTCAGTAGGCAAATACTATTGTGAACACAAATGTAAACAACCCATTTACAAATTGAGTATGTTATAATAACATTTTGGACAAAAATAATGTATTAATAAATAAATATATTCCTAATACAATTAATATAATTGATTCTAGTGTAACAATACATGCTACACTGTATTACTTTTGTCTTACAAACATATGAAACATATCCCTGGTAACAGTTACACTTACAAACAAATCAACAGTAACTCTTACAAAGGCTAGAGATATGATTATTAAAATTAAAAAGGGAAATTCAGGAAATACACTCAATCCTGTAATTAGTAAAATAATGTTGAAAAATGTTTATTATCATTCAGATTTAAACTTTTCACTTATAAGTCAAGCATTATTATGTAACAACAGTTTCACATTCATGTTTAAACAATCAGAATACATTATTTATTTTGGACAATATGAAATAAGAACAATTAAACTTGAAAACAACTTATATGTGTTAAGAAACACTCATTATATGAATTCTATAAACAGAATTAGTGTTTACAATCTATATAAATGTCTCAGTCATATCAGTTATGATTATATTAAACGTTTATTACAAAACAATACAATAATATTATTGTTACAATTCTCTACTCTCTTACCTTCAGTTCTGAGGGTTCTGCACCCTTCTGTACCAGAACTCAGGACTTCTGTCCCTCAGAGGTGCTGTCTATAGACTATATGCATGCTGACTCTTACCACTACCCTTCCTTACTTCATCATTCCATTCCTTTGACCACTCCTTCATTCTCTGTTCATTCTATAGTCTCTTACCCTTTGTCCATCCCTTCATTCTTTGTACCTTTATCTTTGACATTCCTTTCTTTCATTCTTTGTAGCTTATCATTCTTAGTGGCTCATGCTCCCTGAGTGCTCTTGTGTAGTTTAGTATATATAGGTGTACAAGATCAGACTGGTCCTGTAGTCTTGATCTCATCTACTCTAGGTAGTCCTGTACT